ATTGTTATAAATTGAAGCAACACCTCCCCCTTTACCTTTTGGACGTGGCTCATGTTTATAACAGTAATCTTGGGGGGTAGACTCATTTAAAATAATGTAATCATCAGGTTTTAGCCAGGTTTCTATCAAACAGAGCACATCTAGTTTATGATCAGTGATCATATCATTTACAAAAAGTGCTTTCGTAGAAAGGGACCTGATATTCAATAAGCCAAGCTTTATCATAAGTTTATCCGTATTGCATCTGTTTTTTATTTGTTGAACATCAATTAAATTGTTACTTTTAAATTGGTTTGGACGTTTTTTGTATTTTCTAGTTCGGGGAACAGACACAATCTCTATAGTCTGATATCTAGGTGAAAGAGTTTCTATGTGCTGAGAATTAACTGATTTCTGTGACATGAGGCGACTAGCAGACGGTCGGTTTAGCCAGTCTGTCTGCTTCCTGTCCTGGGCCCCAGTTAGTCAAGTCTAAGACTATGTGCCATATTTCTAGAGAGAAGAGCGGCACCACCCCAGGAGGGATGAAGACCAGACATCCAGCCATTGAGTGACGACAGTCTGCTATGTATCTTGTCACCACGGTAAAACTAAAGTAAACTAAAGAAATTTTGTTAGCAGGGGAAAATAGTGTTCTCATGTACCTCAAGGACTTACATTTGTTGCTTTAAAGGAAAAATCCACAAAAGAAGTATGAAAGCATGTTCACGTGGATTTCAAGCTACAAAAAAGCACAATAAAAGTACCATACCCTACATATCTAGTGAATTATATATACAGTACCTTTCAAAAGTTCAAGGTCAGTAAGTGTTTTAATAATATTAAATTGATCAAAAGACTTTAACTGGCATTAAAGACTTTCATACTGTCACAAAATATTTATATTTAAAATAAATGCTGTTCTTTTGAACTTTATATTCATTAAAGAATTATGAAATAAAATATAAAATGTTTTCACAAAAATATGAATGATATCAACACAACTGTTTTCAACACTGATAATAATCATAAATGTTTCTTGAGCAGCAAATCAGCACATTCGAATGATTTCTGAAGGACCATGTGACACTGACGACAGTGAACAAAATTCAGCTTTGCATCACAGGAATAAATTACATTTTTTAACAATATATTCAAATAGAAAACAGTTATTTTAAATTGATCGATATTTCACTGTTGTACTGTATTTTTTATCAAATAAATGCAGCAGAGTTCTGTCCAAAAAAAACACTTTCTAAGACTGTAAAATTTTGATCATTAGTGTACACAGAAATGTCAGTGTTCCCTCTTTTTTCATAACCATGACATGCCAAGAATATGCTGGTGACTGAGATCTGACACTATAATGGAGGAAATACATTTCTAAAGAAAAAGTATTTAAATTTTGCTTTAAATCTTACTTTACCTCATTCACAACCCAAGGTCACTCTTCAGCCACTGCAGGTCTGCACGGTTTGTGGATTTGTCCTCAAAAACAGCCCGTCTTGGACTGTCTGTCTGGAAAGACCAATGCATTACAAATATCCCAAATCTGCACACAGGAATCTCAATTGTGGCGCTCAGAGTTTGGAGATATTCTATCAAATATACAGCCTCTCATCAAATATTTAATATGTAGCACTCAACCCAAGTTATCATTACCATTAAAGACATTATCCTATCTCAAATGCTCTTTCACTCAATCCAAAGCCATTTTTTTGTTTTGGTTCAGTAAAATAAGATTTAAAACAAACAATTAGAGACATATTTTAATCCAATTGCTCTGTGATGTTTCCGCGAAATTAGTAGATTAGATTACAAAGTGAAAGGTTATGGGGGTTCAAGGTTAGACGCCCAGAGGAAATGTAGTCCTCCAGCCTTTTGTGTTAAATATGATTTAACAAGACATACCTGCAAGCAGCAGTGAGGAGTGATTATAAAGGCCAGCGTACTGCACATTGAAAGTAACACAGAAACCCCACAAACCACTGCTGGCAAATCAGTGCAAACTGGTTGATTGCGATGTTGTACGTCTCTACTCAGAAATGTGGTTTATATCATCCAAATGCAATAATGGAGGCATGCTGGTTCAAATGTGGTCATTCAGTCCCCATTCAGCCACTGTCTTCATACAACTTTGTGTTCGCTCTTTGTTATTCTGTCCAATTAAAGGGGTCATATGATGTGATTTCAGTTTTTCCTTTCTCTTTGAAGTGTTACAAGCTCTTGGTGCATAAAGAAGATCTGTAAAGCTGCAAAGACTAAAGTCTCAAATCCAAAGAGATATTCTTTATATAAGTTAAGAGTCAACCACGTCTACCTAAAACGGCTCATTCTAACACGCCCCCACATGTCTACGTCACGATGTGGGAAGATTTGCATAACGCCGCCCAAATGTTCACACAAAGAAAGAAGGCGTGACTTTTATTCTCGCTGTAGTATTGTTGTTGCTGCCGTCATGTCATGAAGACGCTGCTTCTTTGTGAACACGAAACTACTTTGTTTGGCCTTCCCACCAAATACACCAAATATTGTTCTTTTTAGCAGCATCATATGACCACTTTAAGGCAAAACTTCCACTGAAATTTTTTTTACAAATATGTAGTCTGACCCACAAGAAACCAATTGTACTAATAATAACAACTCAAACTATATTTGTAGATCTTAAAATACTGTAAAACTGTGGAGAAAAAAGATCAGATTTCACAAACAAATTGGCAACGGAATGTAATCATTGATGACGGAAAATACTATATTCTCAGAAGACTAATGTAGAGGTATAAAAAAAAAATTGTTATAAAATACAAATTAAAAAGAAGTTTATAAAATAATGACAACTACACTTAAATAACTATAAATGTGTACTAAAATACTAATGAAGCCAAACTACTGACCACACCAAAAGTCAATAAATAAATAACAGGCTTGTTAAATGAAATGAAATTCCTGTCAAAAATATTGTCTGATTGGCATGTTAAATATCACTTGTCATACATCATGATCCAATACTGGGAAAAAAATATAATAAATGAATGAATGAATGAATGATAATAAATGAATGAATTTATTTCAAACAATTAAAATGAACAAAAACTAGAAAATAAAATATTTTGATATAAAATAAAATAAAAAATAAGTTTATAAAATTATGAAAACTAAACATCTATATCACAATAGCATAGGTAATCACAGCGTGCCGACACTGCTAGGCGTTTATACAAGAGTTTGACAGTTGAGCCCAAGCCTAATTCAAAAACGTCAGTTTAGAACTAGTAACGAAGGAACGTTGAGTTGCTTCATTGAAAGCTTATTATATTACTGTATTATGAGAGAGAGATGGACTGAGCGCGTGTGATTACTTGTATCTGATACAGCATTCATTCTTCAGCTCATAATCAGCAAAAACGTTAGTTTGAATGTCTGCTGAGGAAATCGTTATCTTTGTCGTACTATCCTTTCATCTGTTAAGGGTGATTTCCGATGACAGCTCTGCTCAGTGCATTTGTTAACTGCATCTTACAAGGTGTTGTTGAAAGCAAAAATTACTTTCAGTCTCTTTCAATATAAATGTATTTACCGCTGACTCACTCATAAAAACAGTCTCTTAAAAATTTGAAATTTTCTATAATAACAAAACAGAGCCAAATGAGTCCTCATCAATCATTTTCCTAGTTAAGTCATTCTATGTGTAATCCCTGATTAACAAAGTCACTTAACAGCTGTGGAATAAACTTGACAGTATTTAGTAGTTTTGTGAAGCTGATGTCACCCAGTGATTTACTTCCAGACTATATCATGCTAATAAAGTGCATGACCTGTTGTTGATTGTGTAATCTGGTTCCAGGCGAATGCCAGTGAGGCACAAACCCTGTCAACACCCCACCAGGACGTGCCAAATG